TCCTGCAGAATTAAGACAGCCTCAATTTTCAAAACTCCTGCACTCTCTTGCACCTAGGGATCTGTAGAGGTGGGGGCCAGCTACGAAAGGCCTCCCTCTAAGGGCGGAAGGAACACAGGCTTTCTCTCCCAGATCTGGGATCACAAATGAGTGGGGGGGACATCTCAGAACTTGGAAGCTCAGAGTAGAAGTCGCAGGGATTCCTTGGATCCTGCTAGTCACAAAACTAGTGTCAATGGCAGCGCCCTCTTGGGCAAGCTTTTCTTCTCACTGTGCCCCCCAAAACAGTACTGTGCAGCAGGTATGCTCTGTGCCATGGCCAGGGGCACTGCTGCACAGGTACATCATTTCTTATTTTAGTAACAGAGCTGGGCCCAGTTCCAGGCCTGCTGGGATTAAGTGCAAAGCCTAGTTTCTTAAATCCCCACCTAAGTAATTTCAGGACCATAAAGGAACCTAAAGGTCATTTAAGGGAATTTAAAGCGCCACCACCCAGCGCTAAGAATGTCCTTTACAACCCACCTCTGCCCCAGGTGCTCCCACGGACAGACAGGTCAGGGATGTCACTCCTGTGGCAGCCCATTGCTTTCTCATACACTGGGGGGAAACTGAGCACTTCGTTCTCGCAGAAGGTTCAAGGATGTGATATCAAAATTTAACAGTTCTCACATGCTAAAGAAGGCACCACTGTGTGTTGTCAAGGTTTCCACAAGGGGATAAGAGCTGAGTGTGTTACAAAGAAGTTACTTTTATTTTTACTTTCAGTTGTCACCCTTCAACTTCCTTTAGCCTTTCCTACCCCAAACAGACCTGCAAGCAAAGCAAAAACTCCCCTACACTCCAACTGCTCATGATGGAGTCCGAAAATCAAGGAACTGGAGAAAGGGGTGACAGAGCAGTGGGTGAGGAGCCTCCCATCACTGGATTCAAATAACTGCCTCATTCATTTACTAGTTGACCATGCAAATAAAGGCTAAGCATGAGCTCTAATTTACCTTGCAGGGGAGCAGCAAGATTTTTAGGCATACAACGGAGTGATTATAACATGCCCAAACGATTCTGAGCAGCACCCCCGACGCACACACCATCCAGGTCAAGTCAGTGAATGTTTACTAAATGTCTACTGTACACACTGGCCATGTTTGGTTTCACACACCCAGAAACATGCCTCCGACCTCAGCCCTCTTTATTACAAGCTTGGAAGAAGAAAACAATTCTCATCGAAATAGGCAGTAGATACCTATCCAGACAGAGTCAAGGAACAACAATGCTGAACTAATGTAAGGACATGAAATTGCATGTAGCTCCATGTGGAGACATTTCAATATACCCAGAAATGGGCTGGAGAAAGGAGAAAACAAGAGGGCCCGAGCCCACGTCACACAGGAGCACAGAAAGAGGTGCTGACCTGCAGGGCAGCTGCTTCTCCAGACCCCTTCCCCATAGCCTCCACCATTTCTCGGCAGAACCTAGGGGCACAAGCATTGAGTCCAGTGTGGTCTGAGGAACACACAGGCCTGCAAACTGCCTGAGGCGGGGTCCAATCTTTGTCAGAATGAGACAAGATTTCCAATCAGAGACACTGTTATACATGCAGGTAACATGTGGTGTGGCCTGCCTTGTGATTGCCTCATAGTTGCTGGGTACATACTACTACCATTTTAGGAATAAATAAAACAGAAACTTGTAAAGTAAGCTGACAGCACTGTGTCCACTTGGGCAATGCAAGAGAACACCAGCATATTTCAATGCTGAGAGAAGGGGGAGACTGAGGCAGAAGGCCACACCTACCCCTACAGGGGCAATAAGCTAAGAACAGGAAGGACAGCTGTTCTCCAAACAGCCATGGCTTACATAACACATTGGTGCAGCGATGCTAATGCTGTGTGGCTTGCCCAGGGACCCGGTGCACATCTGACTCCAGAAAGAAGCAGGTAGGGCAGGTTTTATGAGCTCAGTTGTACTCACGGAAGAGCTACCAGCAGTGACGTAAAACAACTTGTCCAGAGTCACAAGACTGAGGAGAACTTGGACTTGAACACAGCCAGAATTTAAGTGCTAGAAGCTCTTACACCTTGCTCTAACATCACCTGAAATTAAAAGCTCACACCAACAATGAATTGCAGACAAATGTCCAGAAAAATCCAGGTTCCTGGGTTTCTAAAAGGTTAAAAGGACATGGCAATGGCCATTTTTTCCTGAAAAGAGTTCCAAACTGTTCAGGCCAATAATGGTGAACTTTTCCTGTCTACTAAGACTATTTGAAGCACTTAATAGATATTATTCATTCAGTCCTCGTACTATCCCTTTGAAAAGGTACTATTCTAATTTTCATTTTATAGAGAAGGAAACTGAGGCACAGAAGTAACTTGCCTAAGGTCTCATGGGAAGTAACAGAGCCAGGATTCAAATCTAAGGAAACTACCCAATCCAGAGTCCATGCCATGCAGGCAAATGACAGTGCCTGTCCTCCCATTTGCCAAGAAGAAATAAATGAACTGAGAAAGTAGAAAATAAAGAAAGCAGAACTTTAAAGGAGTCAGAAACAGGGAAGAGAAATTACTAAAGAATAATGAAAACAACCGACTGTTCTGTTATAAAACTGAGTAACTTTAGAAATAACTAAAAACTCCTTTGGAATCCTCTGGCCACTGGTAAAAATGTCACCTACTGAGTCTTGAAGAGTCTGTTTTTCTCTTTATTTTGGAGCTCTCAAGAGTATCAAGAGCCACATGTTTTCAGTGGTTTCTAAAGTAACTACATTTTATAAATCCTCCCCTTATTTTGGAGAAGGAATACTGGAATATTTTTGGAACTGCAATCATTCTCTAAGCCTGTAAAAACTTTGTTTTGCTTTGAAGCCACTGAACACAGAGAATAAGAGAGAACTGAGTGGTATTAAACACATGAACTTCCAATGAGTTCTCATTCGTGCCATTTTATTAGTGAGTGCTCTTGTTCCTGGGAACTGGCGTGCCTCTTTACTCTGGAACTATTTCAAAATGAACTTATTTCTTTACAAAGCAAACAACCCACAGATTGACAGTTCAGATAACAGGTTCACAGTACAAAGCAGCATGCAGGAAGAGAATCTAGTGTAAGGTGGCCTCTGCGTGCAGCAGGTGCTGGCATGAAATCAACAACCAATCCTGATCTCTTCAGAACCTTCTGTAGTTTGTGTGCGCTATCTATGTGGGAAAAGAGTGAGAGACAAGAAAGGGGACCTCCCTCCTCCCTCCTCCCTCAGTATTTGGAATCAGTGATTGCATTCAAGAAGGAAAAACGTGTGTAAGGGTAAGGCTGAGGTGAACGTATCCAACAGCACTCACAGGGGAAATGATGACTCCAGAGAATTTCTTGTATTCAGGAAGATTTACTTTTGGATTTATTTGCTTTAATGGAACAGCAGCTTACAATCTAAAACTAAGAATTCAAAGTGATGCCTAAGTCACTCTCCATCATGCTAGCCTGTTTTGTCATTGCAGTTTCAGCGTTCTATTTTTTTATAGTATTCACTACCGGAAAATAGAGCACTGCCTACTTTCTCCTACCTGCCTCCCCCTGCATAAACTCTACTGCGTCGCTTCTGCTGTTTTCCCAGTGCTTAGGCACACTGTGTTTAATGAATGAATGAAACTACCAACAACTTGATAAACACACAATAGACTTTTAAGGTAAGAAGACCAATCATGTAATAACCATATTCAAATCTAAAAGCACCAAAGAATGTTATTCACCTTCAAGCACCTCAAGAGCCTCTCATGTACACCACCAGTCTTAATTTCCCTCCACGGTGTGAAATATCTTAAGAATACATTAGATTTTGTTCAGCCAATCCCCAGAAAAGCAGGAAAAAAGTCATCCTGAGTGAAACCTGGTGATACCTGCTTCTCCCATGGTAAATGCTGGATGAAAGTAAAATGTGTGTATGGAAGTAACAAGCCTGATTTTCCAAGGAAATCCAAAATGGTTTCAACTACAGCAAAACTTCTGGGTCAGTCTGAAGGCTGTAAGGTGGATACTTCACAAGGAATAAAACAGTTGTAATGGTAAAAAGAACCCAGAAGTCGCAGACACCAAGATACTCCCGAGATTTGGCCTGAGATAATAGCTTTGCCATTAAGTTGCCTGGCTTACATTATTTAGTCTCCCTGCGCTTCAGTTCCCTCATCCAGGAAACAAATGAGCTACAGGAACTTCAAGGTGCCAGTCAATTCTAAACTGCTGCAATTCCACCCTTGGCGATCTGGTTTAAACTCCAGGCACAACACACCTCGTCGAACATGGTGTATTCGTTCATAAAGCCTCTAATAGGAGTCTTTAGAACCGATTCACTTCATATTTGCTCAGGCAAAAACTAAAATTAGTTTTCACTTCCTGAGCGCAGCAAAAAGTTAAGGGAGGCAACCCGGTCAAGAGCGCTTGCTCGTGCCTGTGCATACTTCCGACTGCGTATCAGGGAACTAACCGTTCTTCCTCAGATCTTTCCTCAACTGTTGCAAAAACAGATAAAGCAGAGCATGACACAGAAACACCGGCCGGGAGCGGAGATCAAGGCTTCCCGGCTGGTGCTGGTCCCCCGGGGGATGCAGCGGGTGCCCACCCCGCGCCGAGGGCCAGGGCAAGGACCAGGCGCGGCGCGTCGCCCGGAGGTAGGGTTGCCGCCTGGCCCTCCCGCCTCCCCGGGACGCAAAAGCAAGTACACACAGCAGCTGCGACGTCCGATCCGTCTCCAGGCCCGCCAGCCCGATTCCGGTCCCGACCTTCGCCCAGGGAGAACAGGGGAAGCCACAGACACCTGCCTGCTGCGCCCCGGCCTCAACCCTCACCCGCCGGGACAGCAGAGGCGCTCGGGGGAACCCCACCCCCACCCGCGGGTGCGGGGAGGCCCCGCGCGACCCGTCGGCCCCGGGAGCCCCAACTTCCACCTGTAGGCTCCCCCATCACGGGTTCCAGCAGCACCCGGCTCGGAGCCAGGTCAGCTGCGAACGCGCACCCACCTCGGGCTCCAGGCGCCTCCGCCGTTGCCAGGCTGCTCGGCTCCCGGGCCCTGCTCCGCCCCCTCCAGGATTCGCCCCGCCCCCGCGGCCTCCACGCCCCCGACCGCCGCCGGCTGCCCGCCCCCGCGTGCCGGTTGGCGGAGACGTATCACGTGACATGGGTGGGGCGGGCGGAAGGCTCCTGGGGAGCTGCTCCGAGGGGTGGGGCTCTTCGCCCGCGAGGCTGCTGGGAAGCCCTTTTAGAAGGGTCCAGCTCGTGTTGGCATCTGGGAATTGTAGTTCGTAGTGCGGTGCCGGGAGTGGGCCGGGCCAAAGTGCCAGGGGCCACCCCTGTAAGGGAAGTTGGAGCCGCGCACAGCTGAGGCCACTGGGAAGCGTAGTCCCAGGACCCTCGTCTGGGTTTCGCTGTTTTTCTCCAATAAAGGGGAAGTCCACAGGGAAATCTTACCTAGACAAAACTTTTTGCGGGTGTCCTTAATTTTAGCTATCTTTGAGTCCGTAGGGTAGGCTGCATGAAGTCGAGACACTATGAGGGAAGAAGAAAATTTTAACCAACTGTGGTGCAAGATCTGCAGTCCACAAAGCCAACTAATTAATGGCTGGGGTGTCCCTCATGCGGTACATCATCTTCCCAAGCATTTCAATTCAGAACTTCTTCATTTTGACGTTTGGGTCCCATGACCATTGATATAGTAACTAGAAAGCGAAAGGGAAAAAAGAAAGAAGTTAAGCTTCCGGAAGACAGTTTGGTGTGTAATCAAATAAAGCAATCTAGCAGAGTGTGTATAATACCCCTTGTGCCGCATAATAGTTATACATGAGCGCTTTGAGTAGCATTACTTTATCACAGTCTTTTTTACACTTATCTGTGTTAGTTCTTTGCCATCTAAAAATAGCTGTTTTGGGCTGGGGATTTAGCTCAGTGGCATAAGCACCTGCCTTGCAAGCAGGAGGTCGTGAGTTCGATCCCAGGTACCGATAAAAAAAAAAAAACAAAAAAAACAAAAAAAACAAAAGCTGTTTTGCCTGATACTAGAAATAACCAATTTGTAAGTCTTAAATTTCACACCATTTTGAGGTGATGGACATGAATCGTCCCTTTATCTGGCTGGATCCACACCGTACCCGCTACTGGTTTGCTAGTGACTTAGTAGCCACCTCAGTTATCAGATCAATGGTCATAGTTTTATGGTGCGGTGTTCAAGAAGCCCTCATTCTACTTAATAATGGCCTCAAAGTCTAATAGTAGTGATGCTTCCAATTTTATTTAAGCATACTGCTATTGTTGTTCTATTCTGCTATTCATTGTTATTAATCTCGTATTGTGCCGAATTTATAAATTGAACTCGTAGGCATATGTGTATAGGAAAAAAACACATGTATCAGATTTGGTACCATCCAAGGCTTCAGGCATCCACTGGACTGGACTGTGGATAAGAGCGATCCCTCAGGATAAGGGCGATCACCATGTATACACAAATAAATACACCATAGTGAAAAGCTGAGACTTCTTATATGAGTAGCAAGGCCTTCCGAATCCTACCCAGCCCACTTCCTCCAGGGTGCCGCTAGTCTGCTCACCCCAAATTCTGGTCTGGTCACAGGGAACTTTTTTATCCCCTGGATACTTCGCGGGTTCTTTTTTCCTCCAGCCCTTCCCACTTGCTCCTTTCTCTAGGATTGGCCAAAATTCAGAGAGAGCAGAACAGGAGTTGCTCTGGCCCAGGCCAACTCAGAAGTTCCCCCAGAGCTTTTGTCGTTGTACTGATGTCATCACTTCCCTTTGAGTCTGCCCTGCCTACTCCCCTCCCCATACCATGAACTTCTTTGAATCACATTCACATTTGTGCTGGCTTTCAAAGCATACTCATTAAATTTAAATGCCAGAGAGGCTCCCTGGTCGGCTGCTGAATAACTGGGTTCTCAGCCTATGTGCATCACAGGGCAGAGTAATAGAGGGAAAATGTGGATGAGTTGAGTGAGGGCAACAGTGGGGGCGGGAGATCTTGTATACAGCAGGTGTGAGTTAAGTGCTCAAGGAGAAGTCAAAGCCGTTGGTTAAACTGGGGTGTCTGGGATAGGGGCAGTCCTCATCCTAAAAGGGACTTTTCCCAGTATCCAGCTGGGTCCCACCTCACCTGCTGGAAGATAAGGTCCAAACCGCAGGGAGCTGTAGAGAAAACGCATCTCCGGCTTGTGAAATAGACTGTGGGCCCAGCTATGTCTACCTCACACTAAGTGCAGAGATCAAATAAGTGAATAGATGTGGAAGCACTTTGCCACCCTGCAGTTGGCAAGGTTGCTGGATCCCTAACCCAGTACTGCCCTCATTGACCTCTGAGCTGTGTGTGTGTGTGTGTGGGGGGGTGCTCACGGGTGCTGAGAGTTTCTTGGGCTTTCTTGCATTTTATGCACATATTCCTATATCTGGGGGAGGGTGGAGAGAGGACAGATTCCCTTGTGTGGACCTTCTGGATGCAAGAGAGCTAGCACTGGATGTTACATGAAGCTGTAACATCGAACTAGCAGGCAGTCATGAGTTCGATCCCCGGCATCGATTAAAAAAAAAAAAAAAAAGAAGCTGCTTCTTTAACAAATTTTCCCAGCTACACAATCCTACACGCAGTCCCCACCCCCACCCCACAGGTCATTCTGTTTTTGCTACGTCCCAGGCTGGAAGCACCTTTTTTATTTAAAAAAAGACTAAACTAAACAGAAAAAGGGTAGAAATAATACATAATTTCAAAGAAAAAAATGAACAGTAAGAAATCACTAGTTGATAACTACATATTGTCCTCTTACAAATAGTTGTTCAAGTTACAAAAGTGAAGCATACAAAATAGCAATTACACTGAAGATGACAAGATTCACCACGATACCCATTCTGGTTTGATTATCACCTGTTTTGGAAGCACCTTTTGCTCACCAGGGCTCTCTCCTATTCTCTGGTGTTGGGGGGTGGAGGAGGCAGAACAAAGGGGATCCCAGGCACCTGTCCTTGAGAAGCAGGCAGGAAAGAGGGGTGCCTGCTCTTCTGTCTTAACACACTCACCACTTGGGCCCCTGTGTTCCCCTCTGCAGTGTCATTCCCAGCTCCTAGGACCCGAGAGTGGGAAGGTGAGGAAGAGGAGTGGGTGGAAGGGAGGAAGGAAGAGGCACAAGAAAAAGCAATCAGAAATGAAAAGTTCAGAAAGTAACAGTGAGCACCATACCCAAGGCAAATGCACTTGGAACTGGGTGCCAGCAATTCCAAAGGCTAGCCACGGACTCTGGAAAAGTCGCTTCACCTCTCTGGCCGTTGGTTGCTCTCTCTGAAAAAGGAGTCACATGCCACTTCGCAGGGCTGCTGAGTCTTCACACAGTAAGGCTAAGTAGAAGCAGGTCAAGGAGGCAGCATTCCAGAGTTGCCATGACACTGGTCACTGGTCACTGGTCACTGGTCACTGGGGAGAGAACAGGGACTCAGCCCCTAGGTCCTAGCATGCAAAACTTAGCATCCAAATCCTAGCTCTTCTTGCTCAGTGTGGCTCTGAGCAAGTACATCTCTCCAAGCCTCCATTCAGCATCTGTGGTGTGAGGATATCAGTATCTATTCCATAAATTTGTTGTGAAGAATAAACAAGGAATGTCCAGGACTTGCTTTACGGAGAACAGCAAAGCAAGTGTCCCTACTGCCCTCTCCCCACCTAACCCCATATTCATAGCTCCAACAGAATGGTGCAACCATTCACTGTCCAGAATGTCTGGACAGTGAATCATAGATGTAAGTGTACACACAGCCCAGCAATACCACTTTGAGGTGTGTATCCAAGACACATGGAAACTTACATTGACAAAATGACTTGTATTCAAATATTCATAGCAGTCTTTCAAGTATAATAAAAAGGTAAACAGCTCAGATTCTCATTACTAGTGATTGGCGAAACAAATGGTGATCTATATTTTACATACAGTGGAACGCTGCTCGAAGAGCTATCGATCCACATGCAACATGAATGAATCTCAAAAATGTCATGCAAAGTGAAATAAACTACACACAAACAATTACAGACCCTGTCGTTTCATTTATATCACATTTTGTTTTTGTAGTACTGGGGGTGAAACCCAGGGCTTCAGCCTGCTAGGCAATTGCTCTACGGCTGAACTATACCCCAGCCCCTCATTATATTTTGGAAATGCCAAAAGTACAGCAATTGAAAGCAGGTTTGTAGGATTTGATTCAAAAGTCAACCCAGAGGTATGAGAGAGAATGGATTGCCAAGGGGAATAAGAGGTGTTTGGGGGAGTGATGAAAATGTTCTGTATCTTGATTATGGTGATAATTTTGTGTGACTGTATATAATTGATCAAAGTCACTAAGTTAGAAACAAGACCGGGTTGAATTTCACTGTAGATAACTTCCAATTTAACACACTTGAAGTGTAAGTGAAGAGGGTGGGAAGGTAGCCTCAGTTAAGGTTCTGAGGCTTTCCAAAATTATCAATCTCGTTTTCGCTTGTTTTCTGAGTCCAGGGCCTCGAAGATTTCAGGAAGCGGGAGGTTTGCAACCAAGGCTGTGCTACACAGCAAGAGCTTGCTTGGAACCACAGCAAACCACCCACCAGGAGAAGGCGGAACCCAGCCCCAGAGCAGTGGGACACGGAGTGTCTACCTGGACGCAGGATGCTTAAGTGCTGTGTCTGGACAGAAGGAGCATTAGGCTCCCGGGCCAAAGGGACCAGACTTTCTTCCAGGTCCTCTCTGGGCTCCTGAACATTGCGGGCATCAACCCGGGATCCTGTTTTCCCGCGTGGGTAGGTGATCACAGGATCAGTTACTTCTGCTGCTGTTTCCCTTTCTCTTTCCCAAGGAGGTCCACCAGCTGCAGCTTCTGTTTCCTCAGGTGATAGTGGACGCTTGAGCCTTCACACATGAGAGAAACCCGGTTTCTTGGCCCCAGGGATTCTTTTAGCTCAGGGCCTTATAATGATGACATAGCAAGGCTTCCAAGGGCCCACCCTGGTTGGCTGCCTCATTCCTACCCAATACAAGGTGTGCACGCAGGACTTTGAGGCCTAGTGCAGAAGCAGCG